TGTTTGGTGGACGGGGATGCGAACCCGTGACCCTCAGATTTCGAGTCGAGCACCTAACCACCTGGCCATGCCGGGCCTATTTGTTACGACTTATAGTTGTATGATATTATATGTTAGGTTGGACCAACTTGTGCTATAAACAATTTGGCTGGCACTTGAAATTGGAAAGCAGTAACTTTGTGTTTCAATACGGTTTCAAGATAACTTGTGTTATACTACAGCAATACTTATAAAGGTACGATTAGCTTTGTTTTTTGTTATTTAGCAAGTATAATTATAAGATCAGTTATTCACATTAAATATGTTTCAATTCATTATGTGTAAACCAATACTCTTTCTAGCCTTTGTAATTATAAATAACTATCCATATGGGCACAGCTCCCCAGTGGCACAGTCTGCGGACTTACAACGCTAGAAACCGGGTTCGATACGCGAGGTGGGCAGAGCACAGATAGACCTTTGTGTTTTAATTACAAACAAACAAACCATATGGGCACAGCTCCCCAGTGGCACAGTCTGCGGACTTACAACGCTAGAAACCGGGTTCGATACCCGAGGTGGGCAGAGCACAGATAGCCCTTTGTGTAGCTTTGTGTTTAATTACAAACAAACAAACCATATGGGCACAAATTATACGATATCTACTTTCTTATATATTTTCCATTTACTTCTTTCAATGTTTTCCTACATTCCTGACTGTTTTTTGGTGCTTTTATCCTCGCCACGACAGTACAGCATAATTGTTTACAGGGTCCAAGAAAAAATAAAACAAACAGAAGTGAAGCACGAAAGAGTTAGCAGAAAGATAAAAATACACAAAATGACAATTTTTTTTTTATATATATTTGAATTCAGCTGTTTGTAATGTTTAGTAGTTTATAATAATAACTTCCGATCAAAGCAAGCTCTGTACCTAGAGCGTACCTGATCATCACTATTGTTAATTAAGTATACTTTTCTCATGCATCTACTTATAAAAATTAGCATGCATTGTTTCATCATTTGGGTACCCTCGCTGTTAACGATATTTTCGGCTTGTAAACCCAATAATCTTTTACGAGGTTTGACAAGCTTAGGGATTTGGGTTAGTCCTAAATACAGATTCTAAGCTAATAATACAAATCATATACTACAAGTTTAATAATTAAAAACAAATAAACGTAGTAATATTTGATATAGTAATTAATATACCAATGTTATCAATGAAAGGAATAATGAACGAGCATAATGAACATACCTTAGTTAACACTAGTTTCCCTCCTAAACTATATTCGTTGATGTATACTTCTTTGGAAACTAGCTTTCTCTTTAACTAAACAAACTTTGTACACCTCCCTCACTATATTATTTGTTAATTGTGACAATTAATGTCAGATGTGTAAGATTCGATCCATAAACTTCCTCATAGTAGAAACAAAAAATCATGAAAACACAAAATAACAAATAATAAAATGATATATTACATAAAAAAAAGGCTAAACGTAATATGTATCTTTTATCGCCAGATTTCACATATTCTCCTCTGCCCCACTAACGTGTTCTTAGAATTACTTTAAAAAAAACCTTGTAACAAACACCCAGAGGATTACTACAGGAAATAATACATGGCACGTGCTCTTCTCTAAGAGCCGAAAGAGAAAAAGGGTATTCGTGTAGAAATACGAAACTTGTATAAAATTAATAGATTGTGTGCACTTATAGACAAGGCGTAATATGAGAAAGCAAATATAAAAAACAATTTAACTAAGCAAATGTTGTAATGTTAGAAGTAGCTGATAAAAACTATATACAACAGAATCTAAAACTAACAGTTCCTAAAGTGGTCAATACAATAATGCTGTTATGCTCTGCCCACCACGGGTATCGAAACCCGGTTTCTAGCGTTGTAAGTCTGCAGACATACCGCTGTGC